GGTGTAGGGTTTCCTGCCTAGGCAGGGGGTTGGACTAGAAGACCTCCGAGGTCCCTTCCGACTCTGCTATTGTATTGTATTCTTCCGATATTTTCCTAATCAAAGAATCTCTTTGCTTTTCCAGTTTTGTGCAAATACAATCTTAGCTGTTGTTATCACATGCGTAATCAAATATACATTTATACCTTTCTGGTGGGGGTGATGGCGGGAGGCTCAAAGAACGTGTCCCCACAGGTCACCTGGGTGGGGTCTTCTAGGCTGAATGTCCGGTCTTGAACATCCATCAGCTTGTTACCAAGTATCCCCTCCTAAGAGGGAAACCAAAAAGGCAGGCAGGCATTAGCCAGGTCAAGCGTCGCGCCGGCCCAATCGTTCCCTTCTAGACGGATGAAGCTGGACCAAGGGAGGGGGAAGTCTGGAGACCCTTCTCAGTAGCCCCTTTCTCTGGCCAAAGCAAATTCCACAACCTCAAGGGCCGATTGACCTCCGGAGGCATCGAGGGTAGAAGCAGCTCCATCGTTCCCAGCCGATGCACCGAGGGTGGGGTGATGGGAGCTGCGTGCCGGGAGATCAATGGAAGAGAATATGTGGAGCGCGGGGAGAAAGGAGGAGTCCTGGGTGCTCTCTGAGCTGGGCGGTTCTCTTTGCAGGCGTTTCATGACCCAGCTAGGTAACATCATCAGTGTTAGAAGGGAGTGGGCTTTACAGAGAGGAAAGTAAAGGAGGAGGAGGAAGGCTGTGGGGTCCTTGGTGGCTTTCTGATTGAATTGTGAGCCGCCCTGAGTCCCCTTCGGGGGAAAAGGGCGGCATATAAATGTAATGAATCAATCAAATCAATCAATCAATCTTGCAGATGTTTCACGACTTAATTAGAGAATGTAATTAGTGCTAGAAGGGAGTGGGGTTTACAGGGAGGAGGAGGAGGAGGAGGAGGACTGTGGGGTCCTTGGTGGTGTTTGAGCTGATAGTTTTCTTGAAGCCGTTTCATGACCCAACTAGAAAACGTCATCAGTGAATTGTGGCCTGTCAGAGGCCAGGGAAGCTGGCAGCCGATTCGGAGAGTGAGGAGGTTGGGGAGGAAGATGGGCCAGTCCTGGAGTCTGGGGAAGGTTCGGACGAGGGCTCTGCGTCAGAGGGGGGCGGGGGGCAAGGCTGTTTGGTGCTAGACAGCAGTGAGGCGGAGGAACAGCTGGAGCCTGTTCCCAGTGTGCGCAGGCGCCGAGCTGCCCGAAGAAAAGAACAGCTGAGAAATCAGGGTCAACATGGGAGTAAAGCCACAGGTGGATGGTGAATGGCCCCGCCNCAAAGCCAGAGCTGCAAATGTTACAACAATCAATGGTGCCCACACATGTCTGCCTGACATATGGCAGAATATTTCATGTTACCAGCCTTAACAGCCACCTGCAGACACATCATGGACAGCCCACAAGCTGTTAGATGTCAAGGTCCTCTTCGAACACGATGGACGAACTTCATCATAATAGACACATACATTAGTTGGTTAGGCAATGGCAGATTGTATGTATGGATGCATGTATGTATGCATGCATGCATGCATATATGTATATACACACACATACACACACCCAAGCTGCCAGGGCCAACCCAACTTTGGCTGATCAAAAAACCTAAGCAGGACAGGCTGAGTTAATACTTAGATGGGAGTCTTGCCTTGATAATTATTCATTGACTGTTTTAATGTATCTAAAGGACGGCATGACAAATTCACACCTAGAATGAATCTGAAGATGTTCTACTATGAATTGGTGAAATTCTGCGGGTGTAGACTTTCCTATGACTTCTGTTTCACCTCTATTGTTTATCTAGCTTAAATCTGTAAGGACATTGATGGGCAGAACCCTACTCACCGAACATGGCATGGGCTAGTTGGACTGACAAAAATGAACTAGTTTCTTTTTTCCCCCCTAAAGATCTGTCTCGAAGTTTAGTTTAGTTTAGCTTAGTTTACTTTATTGTCATTGCACAACAAAATTAAATGCCGTCTTCACTGTACATTACAATTATAAAACTAAAAACACAAACATACACCCTTTACATTCTATATAATTGAAATTGAAAACCCGACACTGCACAATACCGTAGAATTCAATATGGGATAGAAGCTATTTTTCAGCCTGTTTGTCCTTGTTATTATTATCCTGTACGGTCTGCCAGATGTAATAGTTTAAAAAATAAGTGCCCAGGATGAGATGGATCTTTGAGAATGTTTTGAACTTTCTTAAGGCAGTGGACAGTGGTGGGTTCTGGATCCCATTGCAACTGATACACTACAATAGGGCCGGATGTCCACCTTGGGCACGTGCACTGTGAGCGCGTGTGCACATGACCACTCTGCAACGCCCCAGTTGCTTGGTGAGATCGTGCAGGCACTGTACACTGTGAGCGTGGGCGCAATTGGCCCATTTCCCTCAAAAAGAGGTAATGAACGAGGGCGGGTGGGTGGGTCCACTGAAACACCATTCAAGTACAGCGGCTGCTACTCCCAGGTGCCACTGGTACACCTGTACCGGGCCATACCACCTGGAACCCACCACTGCAGCGGGAGCCTTAAGTCAAGCCCAGCTGCCATGACTCAATTTCCAGGCAGCTCTACCTAGATAATTGAGAATCTTCATCAACGTGTTCTAAAAATCTGTCCAAGACTGAACAATGCTTGGAAAGACCACAATGCATATACTACTGAGTTAGCTTTCTCCCTGGCCTGGCGAATCCTTTCCAGCATCCTGCATTGATTACAAGGGCCATTTCTGTTGAGAGGTTCAGCTTGTCTTGAGTCTTTGATGGGCTGGAAACCTGGTTGCTCCTGTACTGAGATCAGTTGTACATTTCAGGAGGAATCCATTCAACATCATAAGCTGGGAAGGGCAGCTCAACAACTAAAAGTAACCTGGTCTTAACTGCTAAGACAAGAGAAATGCTTTCATTTCAAAAATAAATGAACAGTTTTGGGGACCCAGAGCAGAGGCAATGCCTATCTTTCCTTATGGCCATCAAGGAGTGTCACAGCATTATCAATATTTCATATTGTATAGTCCACTGGGGAAGGAAACATGGTAATTTCCATAGTTGTTCTTAGACAACTATGACACACTTAAGATGTCTCCAGGCTTTCAATGCTCAGTTGCTGCACAATATGAGCTGTAGCAACTGTGCTCAACAGCACTAATGAAGCTAAAGAGACTTTCTAAATACCCAGGAGGACAAGGATGGAGGACCTTATGGCCTCCAAGATGTTGCTAAACTGTAATTGCAGATCCCCACATGAGCTGAACTGCTGGGAAATGTACTGTAGCTCTGCAGCATCTCAAGAAACCATCACTCTTAAACCAACCTTATTGCTTCAAAGCTGGGATAGAGAATCAGTTCTCTATCATCTAAACAGCCCATCATCTCTTCCTCCTTCTTCCTTTTCATTCCCTAGCAGTTGCATGCTGGTTGTTCATCTTTGTTTTGCTGAACTACGCTAAAGGTGAGGTGAGTAGCCATTGCTAAATCCAAACCTCACTTTCACTGCACAGAGGTGTCTTGCCTATGTGCTTGGTTCTGCTTCTTTATCAGAAGCTAATTATACATATTTTAAAGAATTACCCAAGTAGGACTACAGGGTTTTATTTCTGAGACCAAGACACAAATAAAATGCTATGTCATCACATTTTGTTGAGCACCTTACAGAAGTCCAAAACAAGCAA